CTCCCAGATGCTATGATGGCAGCTTTTGCTGGGGCCAGTCATGTGCTGCTGACCTCGGTCTTGCTGGATCCGTGGGCTTGTTTTGTCTTGCCTTTTAAACCTTAGTTTGGATACATTTCTGATTATTTTCTTCTCTCTCTTATTTGTTTTTGATGAAAGTTGGAGAATTTTATTCTTCCCAAATCAAAACTGCTGTCATCATTAAGCCGCTATTGCTAGTGGACATCTAAGTTATCTGTGAAGATGAATTTTTCCTAACTCATAGGTCTCATGAGCCTCTACTGTCTGTCCTGACAGTGCTACAGGGTACACGAGTTGTAGTGGAGGTAGTGCTTTGCTGTTGATCTTTCCATTTTCTTGTATTTGGTCTGTTAACTCACTCCTGGTTACCATACATTGCTTGTGCATGCTGAGCTCCATATCCAGAAGGGGAAGATGAAAGTGATCGAGGCAGATGAGCTTAGGAACTCTGTATTGACAGTAAAGTGGAAAACCGTTGTCCTGGAGGAAACAGTTGCTGGTTCTTCAACCTTTAGTTTGAGGTTTTGATACAGGACATCTCACTGTGGGTGTGTAGCCTACTAGACTTGTAATGAATTTTTAAATTTTTTGGCGCGCACGTGTGTGTGTGTGTGTGTGTGTGTGTGTGTGTGTGTGTAACAATAGAATTTTAAAATTTGTAGAGTAATTAAATGTGTTCCCTCCCGCAGTGGACTTCAGTATTCAGGTCCTCAGTTCCGGATCGTGGCCCTTTCAGCAGTCTTGCACATTTGCCTTGCCATCAGAGGTAAGGGTGGTTTTGTTCTCTGGTCTCTGGTGAGATGGAAAAGGGCTGCCTGACATTAGTGTGCTGACCGCAGTGCTGTGTAAGAGTCAGTGTAGTGTTTGTGGGAATGTGAAATGGGCCTTTATTGAATAGTGAAAGGCTGGTCAGCTCTGTTGCAGCAAACAGTGTTGATTTCCTCCTAACAAGTGGAGTCTCACCGGTTGCATGGTGAACTCTTGATGCACCTACTGGGCATTAAGTAGAAACATGCTTTGATTCTGCACTCTACAGTCTTACAGTGTTTACAAGACAGTCCCCAGCATTTGTAGTTCACTTCTCTGTAAGCACTGATTTTGTTCTCAGAACTTGGGGTAGGGACCTTTATTTAGAAATGCTGACTGTAGAATGCAGAGCCATGGATGCCACATAGTGCTATTCTTTCATCTAGTTGGAGCGCAGTTACCAACGATTTACAGCTTTCTACGCCAGCCGTCACAGTGGCAGAAAATTGACATGGTTGTATCAGCTGTCCAAAGGGGAACTAGTCACTAACTGCTTCAAAAACAGATACACTTTGCAGGTAAAATCATCTTTTTATCTGGGGTAAAATACCTAAGTACTAACTGATGATAAGACAACTTATAGAAATCCAGTTAGATAGCTCATGCAGTGGGACGCAGTTCATCTTCTGACAAAGCAGTGTACTGAGTAAAGCATGCTTGTCATGGGCAGGTGAGCTGAACTCATTCTCTGGCTCTAAGTGCAAGTCACTTCCTTACTCTGCCTCAGTTTTCTCCTCCAATGAGTTAGGAGTGTTTGCTTACACCACAGAAGTGCTCTTTGGTAGGTTTGTAGAGTGCCCTTGCTGACATGCTCGGGTGACAAATTTAAAAGCTGACATTTCACTCTGTAATTCCAGTCACAGCTCTCTGCAGCCTCACAGTGATAAGACATCCAGCAGTGTGGAGTGCCTCATAATGAGAGCTATGGGCTGACAGCATTTGTACGAAAGCTGGGCTCTGGTTAACTGACAGTGCACTGTGGCTTGTGTGGTACACAGCCAGATTTTCTTTCAAAGTCTAGGTACTTTCTACTCTCAGTTCTGTACTCGGTGTGTTTCACAAGTAAAACTCACTTCATTCCTTGACAAGATCTCAGTAATGAGCTGGTAACGGTCATTTCTTTTAGCATTAAACTTTAGAGTGAGGGACTGGGAGTACTCATTAGCTTAACCTTTGTACTTGTACATTGATAATATGATTAAATAACCGTTATACCTGGTGTGGAGGTCTCTGGCAACTTGAACACACACTTTATTTACATACATTATGCATGCATGTACCCCCAAAAATAAATTTTCTTCTACTGTGCATAAAAATCAAACTCATAATTAATGTCTCTATACCTGGTGTATATTTACACAAGTGTGGAGGTGCTCATATATCTATGCTTATATAGAGGACACATGGCAGGAGAAGACTGAAAGTCCTTTCAGTGTTTGAAAGGTGTCTTTAAGGAAAATGTCCATTCCCCTGACCTCGTGACATTTTGTTGTTGGCTTTTGTTGTTTTTTGCATCTGAAGAATGCATTTTGTGAAAGTAGGTTGTACTTAATGAAGACCTTTCCTGTGTTTTCACATTTCCCCCTTTCTTTTCTCTGGGCCGTGAAGGCATCCACGTTCCAGATGGCAATCCTGCTTCAGTACAACACAGAAGATGCCTATACTGTGCAGCAGTTGACTGACAGCACTCAAATTAAAATGGTATTTCTACTGTTTCATACCCGATTTGAACTTTTTGTTTATTGGGATGTTTGTTTATTGGGATGTTGACTTAGTAGATGTTAGCAGCATAGAGAAAAAATTAAAAGCAGTAAAACTCGGACCAAGGCACCAGAAGACCAGTCCAGATCCACAGAGAGCATTTCACTGGGACTTCTGACACCTTGGATGGCAACAGGACCACTGAATCCTTACGGTTGAGTCAGAGAGGTTTATATAATGGCAAGGTTCATCTGAGCTGGAAGTTCACCTGACTTACTCGGACGAGTGTGTGGAACATCCAGTGCATTCCTGGTGCTGGGCCACTGAGATCCATGTGCCGCTTTCATGATCTTATGACTTTATAGTTTTTAAGCAAATTGTTTTGGACAAAACAGAATGATACTCAGACAGATATGGTTGTGATGGTCTTGTGATG